TTCTTATTATATAATTATTTATATATACCAACATTCCTTTTACTATATAAAAATCCAGATTTTTTAGACATTTAATACATTCAGTTTCTAATGAGTATTCGCATACTATTGTACATTCGGCTATATATAAATTAAATGATGAAACACCCTCAGTAGTGCATTTATGTGTGTTTTCATATTTGATTTTATTTGATGGAATGAATGTAATGAATTAATAACTATGATTGATATTTACTAATTATTAATTAACACAACTTAGACTAATAAAGGGATGTGTTTGTATTAGAATTAATGAATTTTGCTCATCAATATTAACCTTAAAATTTTTATTTTACCTATCACCTTTGCCAAAAGTTTAAGTGATTGCTAAATTTTCAAGTGTTTTAGAGTGAGTTTATTGATGAATTACCCTTATTTCAGAAGATTAGTTCCTCTTACAATCTGAACACCAGCGCAAACTTGAAGAAATAATTGTTATCAATTAGCCATCCTTCTGAATTAAATGAAGTTTACAAATATAATGGAGTCATAATTACAAAGAGAGATTTAATATAGTATGGTTCTATTGCAAGCTAAAGGAACTTACAACTTCTTGAAACGTTCTTCTCAGACTACATAGACCATTACCATCACCATTTCAAAAATTTCTAGTATCCACCTGATTATTATATATTAATTAGAACCTCTCGCCACTCCAATTGTCAATTCTAATTTAAATATATTTTATACTTCCTAAATGGAAGTAAAATCTTTATTGAATATTGTGGTGGAAGGTTAAGATTTAAAGAAATCCAGCTAGAATCACCAGATTAATTGTTATTCTTTAAGGATTCCATTTAGCCTTGTCTGGATTAGACATCAAATATTCTTTCACTTTTGGATAATTTTTTCAGGATGACTATATATCAATTTATGAATTTGTTCTTTTTTAAAACTATATTATTTTTTTACTCATTTAAGATTACATATTTTACCATTACTATAAATATCTATATGATTAATTAGTTTAATCTAGAAAAAATAAAAAAATTTATCAAATTAGAAAAAGGGAGGAAATAAATATTCTCATAAAAGAAATCTTGAAATTCTTTATATCATTACTTTAAGGTAATTTCTCTTAATCCTTGGCTTGCTGAGGGTTAAATTTGAAATTATCAATGAAAAGTATGATTCTGTTCTGATTTTCAAATTCTTCAATTTAAAATCATTTAAACTATTGTATTACAATTCAAAGTATTTTAGTTCATTTGAACAAATTGGTCTAATTCCATATATGCATGCCAGATTTTAGTTGAACCATGTTTTCTTTAATGCTAGTGTAATCATATGTCTTTGATTCAAAATAATTCTTCAAAGGCAATAACTATAATCATAACGATACCAAATCCTAAAGTGTAATTACCTAAATCTTATTATTTAGTAAAGGTTTGAAAATACGAAGATCAAAAAAGGTTGTTATTTTATTATTCTATTGCAATCTAGATATTTAGAATACTAGGATTTCAGTTACGATTTAGCTGGAAAGTCAGGTTCAAATATTCTTTATAAGCTATAAGATCATTAAAATTTAATTATAGTTTGAATCATTTTTAAGGAATCACATAAATACGAGGCGACTTTTTAAATTTATATACTAAAATATTTTCAGAGAAATTATTAGCATTTTTATTAAATTTAAAGTTAATTAAGGATTTCATTTCATTAGAGATAAATGTAAGATGTGATATGCAAAAAAGGTGCAATATTAAAGACAATTTTGAGATATATTGAAAATTAATCAAAATAAACAATCTTCGTTAGATTTATAACTTAGTTTGAAAATGAAATGAAAACATTTATTAAAATAGGATTGTAATTTTATTTTTATATCAATTACTTATATTTTTGAATAAATGAGGTGAAATTGAAATCAATAGAGGCTATATGATACAATGCCTTCATCGAAATAGTTTTTACTGCAAAATATTGAAATATATTTTTTAGAGAAGATTATTTTCGACTATTAATGTAGTGACAATATAATATCTTCCCTAGTAAAATTTAAAAGAAAATGTGAAGAAGATTAATGCTTTAGAAAGCTAATACTATTCATGAAACTATGATAGTTATTCACTGAATATGTTAATATTAAAAGGCACATTCTAAGTCAATATTATGCTTAATTCATTTGAAATTTCAAACAGGTGCATCTGTGCTTGGCTCATTATAAAAAAAATTCATAATTTGAAATGTTACTTTTAATGTTTAAGTTAAATTAAGTGAAAAAATACCTTCAAAATTATCCAATGTTAAAAATAATATTAAATTAATATGAAAACCATAGTACCTAAAGAACTTGGGAGTAAAATACTTCGATTTGTAATTTTTTTGTAAGTATGCAGTACCTAAACTATTTTGTGGAAAAGTTATTATGATTAAAATTGTTTTGCCTACTAGCAAGGGATTTTGAATATTTAAAAAATGTTGATTGAGGATAGTATTTATGAGATGATTGTTTGAACAAACAAATCAAGTGTGTAAGGTTAGGGGAGAGATATTAGTTACCTAAATTTAATTGAAGTGCCATTAAGATTAATTAAACAAAAAAAATATAAAATTCTTAATTGACTCGAAAAGTAGCAGAAAACTTACTATAGCCAAATAATCAATTTTATAAATGATTTGATTATCATCTTAAATCTACAACAACGAGTTATACCCATGAATAGAATGAATAAGATAAGATCAAAATGTGATAGATTTGAAGAATTGAGAGAGTATTTCATTCTTTTAAGTCAAGTTAAATTTGAAAGAGTGAAATCATGCTTGTAATCTATTGAAGTTAATCTAATTAGATAAAAAATTGTAATAAGAGTTGCTTATAGTTATTTACATTTCTTGATAAATGGATTGCACAAAGTGGTTCCTTAGAATGTTTATCAAAACTTCTATAATAATCTCCATTTTTGTGCTTTCGGATATTTTTTTAGAACTTAAATTATTCCTCACTTAAATCAATCAACAATCAGTTAAGCCTTAAAAAATATTGGTTATATCTTCCATTTGACATACCCAGTGATTCTAATATTGTGATTCTAAACATTCATCTAGCTATAATTCATTCTATTTCAATTCATAAGACTATTCAACATCCTTCAATCAAAAAAACTCACTTAAAACTTAATATCCTGAATATTGTTTCTGAGGACCTTCTATATGATATATCGGAGTGTGAATAAAGCTCGATCCATAAAAAATACATGAAGTAAGTTCAGCCGTTATTCGATTTTCTGTGCATTAGTATTATTAGAATCTATTTGATTGAAAGAGAAGTGCTTATCTTTCCAGAACCTAATTTTTTATACAGTTTCTTTAACTTCTAACAATAACCAAAGGTTATTTATCTATAACTTTGAAAAATCCCCAAAATTATATGTAACTAGAAAGCCCAGTTCGTTTTGCATTTAACAAACATTTCCTTTGATAAATTCCTTCGATGAGTACAGTAAATATTGACTAGATTCTGCCTCATAATTATAGCTTTCATCAAAGGTGTTATCTCTTAAGGAAGGTGAGTACTAGAAAAAATTCCTTATATTCAATGAAAAANATTTCAAACAGGTGCATCTGTGCTTGGCTCATTATAAAAAAAATTCATAATTTGAAATGTTACTTTTAATGTTTAAGTTAAATTAAGTGAAAAAATACCTTCAAAATTATCCAATGTTAAAAATAATATTAAATTAATATGAAAACCATAGTACCTAAAGAACTTGGGAGTAAAATACTTCGATTTGTAATTTTTTTGTAAGTATGCAGTACCTAAACTATTTTGTGGAAAAGTTATTATGATTAAAATTGTTTTGCCTACTAGCAAGGGATTTTGAATATTTAAAAAATGTTGATTGAGGATAGTATTTATGAGATGATTGTTTGAACAAACAAATCAAGTGTGTAAGGTTAGGGGAGAGATATTAGTTACCTAAATTTAATTGAAGTGCCATTAAGATTAATTAAACAAAAAAAATATATAATTCTTAATTGACTCGAAAAGTAGCAGAAAACTTACTATAGCCAAATAATCAATTTTATAAATGATTTGATTATCATCTTAAATCTACAACAACGAGTTATACCCATGAATAGAATGAATAAGATAAGATCAAAATGTGATAGATTTGAAGAATTGAGAGAGTATTTCATTCTTTTAAGTCAAGTTAAATTTGAAAGAGTGAAATCATGCTTGTAATCTATTGAAGTTAATCTAATTAGATAAAAAATTGTAATAAGAGTTGCTTATAGTTATTTACATTTCTTGATAAATGGATTGCACAAAGTGGTTCCTTAGAATGTTTATCAAAACTTCTATAATAATCTCCATTTTTGTGCTTTCGGATATTTTTTTAGAACTTAAATTATTCCTCACTTAAATCAATCAACAATCAGTTAAGCCTTAAAAAATATTGGTTATATCTTCCATTTGACATACCCAGTGATTCTAATATTGTGATTCTAAACATTCATCTAGCTATAATTCATTCTATTTCAATTCATAAGACTATTCAACATCCTTCAATCAAAAAAACTCACTTAAAACTTAATATCCTGAATATTGTTTCTGAGGACCTTCTATATGATATATCGGAGTGTGAATAAAGCTCGATCCATAAAAAATACATGAAGTAAGTTCAGCCGTTATTCGATTTTCTGTGCATTAGTATTATTAGAATCTATTTGATTGAAAGAGAAGTGCTTATCTTTCCAGAACCTAATTTTTTATACAGTTTCTTTAACTTCTAACAATAACCAAAGGTTATTTATCTATAACTTTGAAAAATCCCCAAAATTATATGTAACTAGAAAGCCCAGTTCGTTTTGCATTTAACAAACATTTCCTTTGATAAATTCCTTCGATGAGTACAGTAAATATTGACTAGATTCTGCCTCATAATTATAGCTTTCATCAAAGGTGTTATCTCTTAAGGAAGGTGAGTACTAGAAAAAATTCCTTATATTCAATGAAAAATAAGGAAGATTTTTACTGCATATTTCCTTTTTAACTAAAAATTATGCCTCTCTGCATTATAGATGTTTGTAACGAATTCACTTAAATTAATCTCATCATTATAATGCATAGAACAAAATATAAGGAATGTAGTAGAATTGTATTTGAATCATTATCTACTTTTTCTTTATAAACAATACCATTAATCAAAGGATTGTAGGACTGTACCTTTATTTCTAATTAAAACAGAGTCTAGGAAAAAAGATGAAATTGCAAAGAAATCAGAAACTAATAGGAGAGTATAAAGGAACAATCGTAAATTAGGTTATTTATTTTACGCAAAATTTGGTTATAATTAATTTTATGAATAATTAATTATAGGTGCAATTTATCTAAACAATATTATATTTCTAATAAAACAATCAATAATTTATCATCAACTGGCTGCAGATGTTATTTTACTTAAGGTTGATGATTTATTTAGAAATATGCTAAAATGAATTAAATCAATTATAAAAAAGTCTATTATTCAATATGGACCCAAACTATTGCACATAATAAAAAGCCAAGTAAGTACTAATATAACTATCAACAATTAACCTTATTTGACTTGTGGACAAATTTCTCTGACTTCATGAAGTGGTCTAATATTTCTAATTGTTATGAAAATTTTAATCTTAACTATAAAGTTTCTCCAACATTTGCCAAAGCCTCTCTTTTCAAATTATTCATTCCATATTCTCCTTGCAATCAAAGTTTGTTAAAAAGAACTTCGGAATTCTAAAGAGACAATAGGATAAAATCAACTACATGACAGTTTAACCCATTGAAGATGTTTACATGTAAGGAAAAATTAATAAAACTTTAGCCTATGAAATAGAATTAATCTTCAGAGTATCTACAATTTCATTCAAATTCATTAAGTTCAATTGCATATTATTAAGTTGCTTAATTACTTGCATCAACATCTGAAATCCAAATATTTTTCTTGCAAAAATATGTTGAAAAGCTTGAAATTCTCTTATTGTTCTAAATATTTAATGTAGGTTGATGATAATGGAGTAAAATATTTTTGAATATTGGACTACTCTAAGTTGCTAAGTATGTATATATCACAGGTGAATTTTACTGGATTATCCATTCTATCAATATTTCTAAGTAAGAATAACATTTATAGGGGATTTATGATTAAAAACAATTATAAAGTGAACTTTCGAGTAAATTAAAAAATAACAAAAAGTGACAACTTTAGTTATTTATCAAGATTCAAACCTATGAGCCTTGAACTATATGATTTCAGTATTAATCTGATAATGAACTTTACCAAGTATTTTGTGATTATTTTATAAAATAAGATGATATAATAAGAATACTCTCTATCTGAAGGAATTTAAAGCTGTTATTTCTCAAAGATAAATATAGCTTGTGCTATTAATATTTCTGCCATATTCTAAATGAATTGGCTTTTTCTAATGGAATCTGTAAAATGAGACGTGTATTTATTAATAAACTGTTAAGTCATTTTTATGAATTAGAAGATGGTTATTTGAGAAGGTACATAGATATATTACTAAAGATCAGTAGAAATATATAATCAAACTACCAATATCTTTCCAATTTATTTCTAAAATGAAGGATTTTCAAGCTTATTTTTTGCATAACAATATTAAATTTTTCCTATTCCAACATTTATTTTTTTATGTAACTTTAATATGAAAATTTTTTTCTTTGAAAGCACAGCTAGTTCTTAGTATTTTTATAAGCTTTAAATTAATCTATATCAACAGCTAAATATTAACTCCTAAATTTGATATATTGTTGCAATTTTCAGAAGTAATTACAGTTAACTAAATAAAAGATTCAAATTTGGAGTAATATCTATCTTAGAAAAACTTTGCCTAAAACCAACCTATTTTGTTAAACTTAACCCTAACCTATTTTGAAATTTCGATGCACTAATTAAAAGGAACAAAACTAGCCTATCCTAATCTCTTAATTAATTCAAAGATTTCTGATTTTCCTATGTTTTGAGTATTTAAAGAGGAGATTTTTGATAAATTAATGAATAGTTCCATCAAAAGAGATTGGGTTATATTTGCCATAAGTTTGTAAATTTATTCGATTTCATCCTTATCTAATGAATAAAGAAGTAGATACCTTACTTGCTTTCCTTTTGTGAAAATGCGATTAATGATTAATAGATTTTACTCTAATTCTATTTAAGTTGTAATATTTTATAGATTCCTTTTATAAATTTGAAAGAGTTCTGCGAGACAGTTTATTGTTTTACTCTTTAATATTTTGTTAATCCATATGGCATATTGGTTCTGATGATAGCTTAATCTTTTGTTGATCCTGTTCAATTGAGATTATTTCCATTTTAACACATATTATAATATGATCCGATATTTATGAGTCTAATAGAATTTCAATTTATAATTTACTTTCTTAATATTAGAACATGAACTTTTAGAATCTTATTGTTAAGTTTATTTGGACTCTTTAAAAGTTAAATGATTTTATGTAAAATCCACAAAAAATCTGAATTAAAAACTTTAGCATTTGAATTCTCCCGTAATAATTAATTATCAATTTTTCTCATTTAAGTGGCAATCTATATTATTATTCATCAAATTTGTTTGTAATAATTTTAGTGATTAAATAATGTTTGGATTTACTAGTTAAAAATAACTAGTTAATTAGGAAGTTATAGATTATTTGAATAATCTGTAAAATAAAAATTTGGAATGACTCTGCTTTTGATTTATGAATAGACTCCAGTTATTTTCCCTTCTGATGAATTTATCTTTTCTTATCATAGAAGTATTTTGAACAGAATCTCTTCTTGTCTTGTTCTTCACGTCTTATAAATATATTGGATATGCTTCTTGATATCTAGGAAAAGATTTTTTATATTGAGCTAACATTCTAACCGAGTAATCTTATATTTCATCCATCCCAAAAGGCATATCCATTAGAGATTTACTATAATCTTCTATTGAATTGTAAATTGTTCCTAAATTTGTTTATTTTAGGTGTTTTCCCTTAATTCTTTTAGCTTAATATATGGCTAATTTTAAGACTAAATATTCTTGTGTTCAGGGTCTTAGCCATTTAAATTTCTATGTATTATGTCCATTAGTTTGATTTTGATAGTTTTAAATGTAAAGCTATGACTTCAATCTTATATTTTTTAAATTCTTTTACTATCGTATTGGATCAATGAATATCTGTTTACCAAATTTACTTAGCTGGTATAATGATAATGTATCTTCTAGATCTTAAAGTTGTTTGACATCAATTTCAAATTATAATGACAGATATCAATTAAACTGCACAAGATGGTGCGTTGTATTCATTAGAAATAGCTTTGTATTTACATTTTATATTTATGAGGATAAATTATTGCCTTTATTAATGCATCAATGCCTTAAGTTAATTGAGTAAGATTAGTGCCTCAATTATTTTACTTATAAATAATTGTGGTCATTACTAATATAAATAAGTTATTATAAAATTGTAAATGAAATACTCATTTGAAAAGATAGAAGAGATCTACCTGAAATATAAAGTTCTTGGTAAACATACCTCTCTTAATAATCAATAAATAAATTATAATCTCATAGTTTGTAAGAAATCAAAGTAGCCTAAGGAATATATTAATAAGGTTTGCTAAAATCTATTATAATTAATTAAGACAAATAGTTTTGCAATCATTAGGTTTAGGTGTTATAAATTGAATTTTATAGAAGATCAACTTTGATTTAAAAGTTTTGAACATGG